ACGTTGGAACTTTTTTAAACTTTACTGTAAAAAATAAGAAGAAAATAATGTAATTATAGTTGACATGTTTTAGATAATGTTTGATATGCCTAAGAAATTAATACAACGAAAAGATCAATCGTTTTATGGGCATATCGCCGGGTCGTAACGCACCAGTTGCGATAATATGATGGAGCTTAAATTATTTAAAAAGAAGGTTTACATTTTTGTCGAGTGTTGTTAGTTATCTCGAAAATAACTTTCAGTTTAATAACAATATTCGAATGGCTTTTGCCTATGACCTACAACTCCTTTTTCTCTATTTATGAGTTGTAAAAGAGTTTTGCATATATAGATGAACTCCTTAAAAAGTGGTACTTTTTCACAGTATGAAAGGATCTTAAGAATAAAGTTTGTTTCCTGGCGCAAAGAGAGAAACCGGCTTTTAATTAAAATTTTTGGAAGTGAACTTAAAATTAAAAGTAATTTTAAATTGAAATGTATAGAATTGTATGACTATTTAAACACTGAAAATGGGAATTATCTCATTATTGCTATTCAAAAAGTCACAAATATAATATATTTTATTGGCTCCTGTGTATAATGATGTGTACACTCATGTTAAAATGAATAACACTTTTATTTTTTATAAACTATATTTTATTTATATAAGAAAATATTGTTAAAAACAAAAACTCAGGCGTTTTAAGTTATTTTCTGTTACTTACATTCATCATTTTGCCAAAGAACGTAAATAACAAGAAGGGACAACTCGTTATAGTTGCATTCCCCAACTTTTCTGGGTTAAAACCTATAAAACTGTCAAAAGGCAAAAGAAGCCAGACAACCGAGTACTGGCAAATTCCTGTAAATTCTTGCAACTTCTTGCGAGTTAGGGAACGCAACTTTTAATTGTAGAGAAAGTGCGCAACAGGGGAGTTATCTATGTTCTTTGATTTTGCTTTGAATAAAAATGTACTGAAAAGTACTGATTTTTCTAGCATGAAAAAGTCTAATGTACTGATTTAGCGCACAAAAAATCTGGCAACCCTAACTGCACCCCAACTTCATTGAAAAGGATTAGTTGAAATGCCGTTCACACCAGACGATTGTTGCTTTCAACTAAAAGTTGCATGTAAAATCGCCTCATGTGAACACCGTATAAGCAATGACTACGTTCACACAGAGAAACTTTTGTTGCTCATTTTCGGCAATTTCTCTTTTGGTGTTGCCCTTCGCGTTCACACAGAGAAATTGGTTGCGTTCATAAGACGTAGCTGTTTAGCTCATATGCTACGAAACTGCTGGCAACTGTTGAACCCAACAATTAGGTTTTAGAAACGGCTTGATGAATATGCTGCCAAATGAACAGCTGATAAATGTAAACAAATGAAATTGTAACAAATAGAGATAGTTGCGTCGTGTTGAAAAAAACCGTTCAATGTTACAATGAATTAAACAGTGTAAAATTGTATAGCAAACATCTTAAAAACATACATTTAGGAACGTAGTATTATTATTAAATATTTTAGTTACTTTATCACGTCAGTAATATAAAATATAATAAATTTGTTTGCAACTGCCACATAACAAAGCGGCGTTAAATTTAATATAAGCGGCGTAAGTCTTTTCAATCAGCTGTTTAGGCTAAGCCCAACACGTTGAATTCAGGTAGCGTAAATTTTTACGCTGGAAAAAATGGCGGAAAGTTGCCAACTGCTGAGCGTATATACTCAACTGTGCGGTTCTAATATTACATTTACATTGGACCAAAATGCGTGATTTGAAATCAGTCATTTGAAGGTGTTTACACTGCTTGATCCGCATTTGCTTTGACTTCTCATCAAATGAAAGGGGAAGACAAAAACAAAATGTATGTAAACAAACACTACATTTATTATATTGTTAACGCTTTTTGGGCACAAAAAGGCAATTATTCTTTGATTAAACTAAAAATGTGTAAGGCTCTTGTATAAATTAACAATTTTTACACACAAATTTCAAAGATTTATTTATTTCGTTGTGTTTGTTTTGTGTTTGAAAAATTCCAAATGTCAAAGACAAACCAAAGCTTTTGTGGAACTTTTGTTTCTGAGTGCGTTCAATAAAATAGTACGGCAATTGGAACGCATTTGTTTCGTGATTTTGTGTAAATGCGTCGAAATGCGTCATTCTGGAAATGTGAATTTGTATGGAGAAATGCGTGATTTGGCCTCGCATTTGAGGTTTCTCGCCCAAATGACGCATTTGGGCTCAATGTAAATGTAATATAAGACAAACAGCCAACGGTTACCCAACAGCTACGACTTATGAACGCACCCATTCTTTTGTACACAATTGTTGTTGACAGCTGCGAACGGCCAACTAGAATTACTCAGACGAACGAGAGCACAAAGCGTGTAGCCCGAGCACGAACAACTCGGTGCCCTTCCCCGTCTCCACCTCTCCAAAATTAACGAGTTGCCACGACAAAAGTTTCTCCGTCTGAATCTAGACTTAGGAAATCGCCTTATGTAAATCCAGCTTTAGATAGGACAGATAGGCTTGCATCGTATTGATCATGTCGTAGACACCATCATGATATAAAATATAATTGTGTTTTCGTCCATGTAAAATCTGTCAAACGAAAACCAGTTTTCGCTGAAAACTACTTGAAAACTCACGTTCCACTCATTCCAATCGGTGTCTTCACTAGTTTTTTCGATTATTTATCGAAGTGGAAGTCGTATTTTCTCATCTTTAATACGCTATTTCGTATTTATTGTTAATTGGCTGGCCAAACTAAAATAAGAATGAAAGTAAGAGGTTGTGTAAGAATTAAAGTAAGAGGTTGTGTGGAAAAACTCCAATCAGAGGATGTAAGAAATGTCAACGAAAACACTAACAGCCGGTGTGAACAGCCTTCAGCCCACAATTCCAAAACTCGTTTTCAAAGTGTTTTCGTTGTCGGTCAGAACATGGTATAAGGTAGAACTAGGGATTGGTAGTGGGGGGTTGAAACTCGATTTTTTCCGAATCTCGAACATTGCCCAACCATTCGATTATTCGGTTCGAAATTCGGTGGTGCAAATCCGATTTAATTCGAATTTTTTCGAATTTCACAAGATTTTTTTGAAGTGAAACTTCTTGGCCGAGTTCGGAGATGTTTGCGTTAAATATTTAACACCAAGCCATAAAATCTGTATCGTTCAATTTAAAAAAAATTAGGAGGCGAATTAAAGGCTTCTCTTTTGAGTCTGCATCATAGTTTTAGTTCTATGAAATGGATTACCACAGGTTAGAAAATCGAATTCAAATAATCGCTCCCGCAGATGTTTGCGTTAAATATTTAACACCAAGTCATAAAATCTGTATCGTTCGTTTTACTTTTAAGAAGGGGGTAGGTGTCAAATGAAAGGGCTTGCCCTGTAGATGTGTAACATGGTTTTAGTTTTTTGCCATATGTAAGAAAATCAAAATCAAATTATTTAATAAGTTAATTAAATTACTCCAATATGGGTATCAATCGAAATGGTTTTGAATAAACTTTATTTTTTAATTACATTTGGGAGGGTTGCCACCTGTTTGAAAAGTCGAATTTATTTAAAGAAGTGTTGTACTTAAAATACTATGCAACAATTAAAATATTTTTGAGGTGCTTGAAGAGAGTGGGCACCTGTTTAAAAAGTTAATCTAAAATTACACTGTGCGACAACCGAAACCAGCCCGTACTTTGTTAACATTTTCTGAATGTCTACCCATCCAGTAGTAAAACGCTCGATGGATTGCAAAAGTTAGCTCGTATTTTATGGCCTTAAAACGTTTTCATATCTCGGCCTAAGTAGTTTTCAAAAAAGTCGAAAAAATAGTTAAAATAAATGTCCGAGCGAAATTAAAGGTTAAAATTTCTTGGGAAATATTTTCGTAGAACATTTTAACCCATTAGCTCCCGCCTAAAACGGTCATATTTGACCCTTAATTCAAGCAATCTCGCAAAACGCAAATTTGGCAGATCGTTTATGGATTGATATATTCTAAAAAAACTATTCTCCGGAAAATTTTACTAGGGGTCTTCTCAGGCAAAAGTTTCAGCTACTAACGTAAAAGCCTTTAAAAATTTAAAATAAAAAATCAACAAAGAAACTTGGAATAAAAGTTCTTTCTTGGCACGGATTTTTTGTTTTTATGCATCAGATCGAAAAACATGTATTTTTTCCTTGAATCCCTAAGACAAATGGAGTGTGACACACAGTGATGGCAAATTTAGTCAGACAGAAAAAATTTGAAGAGTTGATTTTTTGGAAATAAAGATGAAATTCGATATTTTCTGGAAAAATTCGATTTTATCCGAATTTTAGCAACACAAAGTTCGATTTCAAAAATTCGCCATTTTGGAGCTAAAATTCGATTAATATTCGAATATCGAATTTACCCATCCCTAGGTAGAACCAAAGTGTTTAATACACCTTGGGTAGAACCGCTGAGAGGCATTTTTAAAATTATTGACTCCTGCATTAAAATTTCAAACACACACATTCTCGTTTTCAATCTCTGCTTTGGGAATTAAAGTAAAAATCCACTGAAACATTCTTAAGTTGTAGGCAATGTTGCAGGTAGAATTCGTATTCTGTACAACAAGAGTTTGGCAACCAAGGCGCATCAATGCGGCTTGCTGGCAACCATAGCGAAGCGTAAAAGCAATGAAGTAATAAAATTGAGGAAGCAAAGTAGCAGCCAGCAGCAGCTTTCAGCTAGTGTAGGTAACATTGCCATAAAAAAAAATTGTTTGCAGCCAGGGAAAGTGTGACCTTCGCAGTAATTCGTATGCTTTTTTTAATTGGCCTATTCAAATTCGATAAAACAGTTTTAAAAAGTGAGAAAAATTAAGTGAATTCTTATTTGCCCATCACGGTTCCATATTTGATTCGACAAGGAGGAGAAGCGATAAATAGCGTGAGAGACAAATATGCGAATGGTGTGTAGCGTAATAAGAATGTAAATGTAAAAAGAGAACAAAGGAGGAACGTGTGCAATTAGTGTATGTATGTTTAAGTAAGAAGAAAGGTGAAACACGCGAGAAGGCACATGAAGTCTGTGGCACATCAAGTCAACTTCGAAAATCCCAATTGCGGTGCTCGCGGGTCGGCATTGTAAAAAGCTCTTTCGGAGCTTGTGCGCATGGGGAGCGAGCAGAGTTGCATTCGTATATGGAGGATTTCGCATACCTATTGGGGGGTTTTATTCGGCGTTGTAAGCATGCAGTAGGCAAAGAGCACAAGTTTATTCGTGTAAAATATTGAGTTCTTACCCATCATGTGAGGATTGCCAAAAATACTTTTTTGACTCTTGAATTATGCAAAGGTACCGGTAAGTACGTTTGTTTACAGAGGTAAACTAAAATATAAGAGGGTTTTTTGTTTTATTAAAATAATATGAACCGAGTAAGAGTTGCCAAGTTTGTCTGTTAATAAAAGTGGTGGTACAAAAATTAAAACCCTAATTTATGTACAAATAAAAAAGGTCTGAACCGCTTTTTTAATGAGAAAATGTAATATAACTGTTGCTTGTTGAAAATGAGCTATTTGGCCAGATAATGTTCAAAACTATATATAATTAAATCGTATTCTTCTAAAACTTTAAAATATCTTAAAAAAAGGTTACATGACAGTTCTGTTTCCGTAAAACGCAAGTTTATATTTAGACTGCAGATTTCATTACAGATCCTCGATTATTTTTGTAAACTCTTTATATGAAGTATATCAACATTGTACTAAAGTCGTATGCTTCCTATTTAAAGTGGATGTTAAAGGCTCTGTTATGCATACTTGGCATTGCATGCACTGCTATACCATTTTTACGTAGAAATCAAAAACCAACAGACTTCTACGTATGTAATGCTGTGCGTTGAGTAACCGCTTACAAGCGAAGCTCATTTAACAGCCTTAA